GGGGCACCTAACAATGAAAACAACAGGCTCCAAAACTGTGATACAACAATTCCTGTTCTGTAAAGCCACCCATTGGTGGTTATTATTTTGTTCCGGCAGCACCAGGTAACTGAGCCACTGGATTGAATGGCCCCAGGAAGCAACCAGAAGCCTTGTTCTTCACAACGGAAGCTGCTCAAGCTGGAGATGAGAGGACTCAGAAGGAAAGTCCATTTGCTTTCAGCTCTGAAAAGAGGTCTGGACAGACTTCAGATCTACACAGGAGTAATCAAAACGTGAACAAGAATAAAAGAGCCTTCTTGTGGTGAAGTGAGCTCCCCATTGCTGGGAGTGGAGAGCAGATGCCTGAGGAGTGACTGAAGGCAGGTACAGATTCATCTAAGAAGGGTTATGCCATGACTTGCTCATACCCTCAACTCAAACTCTCCCTGCTGACCCTCTGCCAGACCCCTAGTTCCTACCTCATACTTGTGTCCGAAGAGCCAGTGAGAGGGAGGTGATGGGAACTCCTGCACAGCTTTGAGCAGCCACTGCCTGCGCATGTAGAACTGGGCCACGTTGATCAGCAGCAAAACCAGGCTGAGGAGCAAGGCCACTTGGAAGAGTCCAGGGATAATTCCTAAGAGTCCCATGGGGCTCGACATGGAGATACTCATGGTGCAGCTGGATCATACTCTGACTGCCCCTGACCACCCCTGTCCAAGTCTAAGAAGGATTGTCCCTCCTACCTTTGGGGAGGGGAAATGAATGAGGGCAGAGTTCAGTTTGTCTTTGGAGGATGAACTAACAGTGGAAGGTTCATTTGGGAAACAGTTGGAGAACTGTGATAATCAGATAATTAGATGGTGTGATAATGGCCTTATACCCATATACATTGCCCATTTCAACAAATACATCGTGAGCACTTACTGTGTGTCAGTCGGCATTCTCGGTGGCAGGACAAGGCTGCAAGCAAAAGAGTCATGATCCCTGACTTCAAGGGATTCAAGTGTAGTTTATTGATGTCAGTAGAAGTGCTAGGTTATTGCTTCTATTTTAAAGGTGAGAAATTGAGAGCCTCAGGTATCCAGTGATATCACTAGAGTAAAACAGCCAATGATCATCTGATTGGGATAGAATAATCTCTGTTCTGCTCCAAAGCAGCTCATGCGAGTTGACTTTGAAATGTTCCTCAGTGTATTCGGGTCCATTAAACAAACTTAACCTCACACGCACAGATCCTGGACCTAGAAGTCCCAAAGTCCAGCTTCAGCCTCTCTGCTTACAAAGTTTAACATTTTACATGCTTAAAATCTCCTAGGCTTGCTTGCTTCCTTTGTCGAGGGAAAGTTCTACATGAGCTTGCCCATTAATTTACTTATTCCAGAAATATTTCTTCAGTTCCTACTCCTGAGAGACAAAGGAGAAAAATAAATTAGTAAAATGAAATTGGTAAGTGTTGTACTCAAGGAATGACGATTAGGCTGGATCAACTAAGGGAAGGAGAAAAGTGTCTTAAGAGGAAGGGAAAAAACAGAGCTTAAATTGTGAACACCCATTATGTAGAAGGCTACGGAGGAAGTTGAATAGATTTATTATCAGACAGAGATTTTTGTAATCTTGATTATGCTGGAGTTAACTATGGTATATAATACATACTTGGTCACTTGATCTCCCTCTTGACTCAACCTGAATTTGATCTATGTCACCTGTTCCATGAGAGAAACTTCTTCTCTGGCTTTTTAAATATTGCTGCTGGTCTCCTTTCTCTTAGTTTTTATTTTAGCCTTTATACTGTTATTGATTTCTTCTTTCTGTTTCTGTTAGGTTTCCCAGTTTACAAAGTACAGACATAGTGGATAAATAGAGGCAATAATTGATGCAGTCACTTATCTCCAATGGACAGGGGGAGCTGGAGGCGGGGGCGGGGAATTAGAGAGCAATCAATGAATGCAGGAGCTGGGAATGAGCATTAAAACTGATTTTGATGTTATAGATACAACTCTATTTGAAAGCTAAATAGACCATGAAATTGTATGATGTGTGATCAGTATGTCACAAAAAGTCCAGAACAACCACAACAGAGAAGAATGGGGCTTGAAAGACAAGTAGAAGTTCAATGGGTGGAAAGAGCAGGAAAGAGTGACTATCTTTACAAGGTCATAACTGTGATATGTCAAATACCAAGTAAGGAGAAATAAATCTTTTCTCATCCCTTATTAAGGATTATCTCCCCAGGTCAAGTCCAAGACCCAGAGTCCAGAAATTAAAATAATGAAACACATTGCAAGGAGAATAACTTGGAAGTCAGCTCTCCCAGGGAACTATTGTTACCTAACCTAGTTATCCTATATAAACATTTACACCCAATGCACTCACCCTTGTCTGCCCTGGTGTCAGGTAAATCATTGTACAACACATGGGATCAAAGTTCTTCTTTTCTTCTGTAATTCCTAGGCCTCTGTACAAATCCATGGGCAGTGAGGCATATAAACACTTATGCCATCCCTCCAGTGGTCTGTCCAATCTCTCATCTCCATCCTGCTCCCACTTCTGGGGTTGCACTCAGCTCCCCTTGTCCCTAGTCCCCAGATGAGAAAATGTCTTATTGTTATTATTGATAATATATACTAAATAAATAAAGTGGCTAATACAACTGTGTCTGCATGCTCAGTTCAGTGACACTGATCATAGGCATTGAGTTGTGCAGCCATTCTCACCATTTTGGGGGCTGTGCCTTTCCATTAACATAAGCTCATTACCTACCAAATTTCTATCTAATCTTACTCTTTCACTACTTGTCCCCCAGTTTGTCATACTGTGGTGGCTTGTGTATTGCTCTGATGCTGGAATCTATTTCACTGGTATTTCAAATGCCAACAGGGTCACCCACAGTGAACAGGTTTCAGCTCAACTTCGAGACCAAGAAAAGATAATTTTTAAAAGGACTTGGATCCCCACATTGAAAGAAAGTGGCACTGAAAAATTTAGACTTAGCTTTGAAACATCGTCAGATATGAAGACCTACATAACAGTAGCAGGAAATTGTTGGAGACAGGGCGTAAGGATGGACCCTTCAGGACCCCGGGCACTTAAACTGTGACTGAGGAGAATCTGATGTCTCAGAGTGGAGTTGACCATGATGACATGAGTTGGGTAAAGCATGTAAGGATGAAGCCAACAGGATCTTTGTTTGTTGATGGGCCACGACTCAAGGTAAGGATAAACAGCTGCAAAAAATCTACTAATGATTAGAACTTGGAATGTGGGAAGCATGAATATTGGAAAATTAGCAGTCATCCAAAATGAAATTGAATATATATATAAATCCATATTCTAGGCATTCGTGAGCTGAAATGGGCTGGTATTGGCCATTTGAAATGAGGAAGTCAGAAGATTTACAATGCTAGGAATAACACAATTGAGAGGAATGGTGTTGCATTCATTGTCAAAGAGAACATTGTGAAATCCATCATGATGTACAATGCTGTGATGGGATTATATATATATGCTCCTTCAAGGAAATTCAATCAATACAACCATTATTCAAATGTATACTCCAAACACAAATGCCAGTGATGAAAAGATGGAAGAATTCTATCAACAACTTCAGTTGGAAAGTGATCAAATAAGCAATCAAGATACACTGATAATTATTGGTGATGAGAATGCAAAAGCATATAACAGTGGTTCTCAACCTTCCTAATGCCATGACCCTTTAATACAGTTCCTCATGTTGAGGTGATCCCCCAACAATAAATTATTTTCGTTGCTACTTCATAACTGTAATTTTGTTATGCTTCTGTTATGAATCAGGAAACCCCTGTGAAAGGGTCATTCAACCCCCAAAGGGGTCGCAACCCACAGGTTGAGAACTGCTGGCATATAAGCCAAGCCAATGGTGCTGAATCCAAAAGTTCAAGCTGCAGTAAATGTATTACCCATCCCCGACCCCACCCCTAAAAAAGGTCTAGGAATTGATGGAATGCAAATTGAAAGGTTTCAACAAGCTGATGAAGCACTGGAACTTCTCACTCATCAATTCTAAGAAATTTGGAAGATAGCTACTTCCAGCTAATTGAGTGAAAGACATCCATATTTGTGCCCATTGCAAAGAAAACTGAGCCCAAAGAATGCTCAAACTATAGAACCATATCATGGATATTTCATGCAAATGAAATTCTTCTGCAGATCATCCATCAACTGTTGCAGCAGTACAGTAATAGGGAGCTTCTAGAAGTTTAGGTCATGTTCAGAAGAGAATGTGGACAGGGAATGACATTGCTGATGGCAAATGGACCTTGACTGAAAGCAGAGAATACCAGAAAGATGTCTACTTGTGATTTTTGACTGTGACAAGGTATTCAACTTTGTAGACCAAAATAAACTATGGATAACTTTAAGAAAAATAGGAATTTAAGAACATTTCATTGTGCTCATGAGCAACTTACACATGGATCCACAGGCAGTTGTGAGAACAGAACAAGGGAATACTACATGGTTTAATAACCTGAAAGGTGTGTGCCATGGTTATATCCTCTCACCATACATATTCACTCTGTAAGCCAAGCAAATCATCAGAGATGATGGCTTATATGAAGAATGTGGTATCAGGATGGGATCAAGGCTTTTTTTACAACTTGAGATACGCATTTGACACTACTTTACTTACTGAGAGTGAGGACGACTTGAAGCACTTGCTGATGAAGATCAAGGAATGCAACCGTCAGTATGAATTATGAATCAATACCAAAAAGATGAAAATCTGAGAGAGGAGTCAAGATTGCCTCCAGGTGGAATCATCCGCCTGGTGCTTTCATTGTTTGATCAGAAAATTAAGAGGAAAGGAGGCCAATATTGGGAGTCTGGGTTCTAAAAATAGATTCAGTGTACTAGGGTCTGTGCTTCAGACCTACCCCTGCACTTTTTAACTCACAGTGCGATTTGGGAACTCAATGAAACACTCTAAGTTCATTGTGTCTGCCCTCAGGCTCTACTAATCCCTTGTGAGGTCCTTTGGGATGGTGTCTGGCACTCCTTCTTGCACCCAAGATCTGAGTCCCAGGGTGTGAAGTAATTTCCCCAGGTTGCTGTCTAAAATAATCATAATCCCAGGCTCAAAGAGAGCCTCCAAGAGCTAGCCACAAGAACTCACACCAGAATTCACCTCTCTGCGTCACTCCCTGCTCCCACATTCTTGGGCTTTGGCTCTTCCCTCCCCAGCCAGGAACAGAGTGGCCACATCAGTCATTTCCTTTCCCCCTCTCCCCAGCTCTGCAATACCAGCATGGGTAACGTTAGATAATTAGGCACTCATTTGAAGCAATTGAAAAGCACCTGGGATATTTACCCGTCACAGAACACAGATCCCTGGAGCACAGCCTGTGGAGATGTGCATGAGAGAGCTGGGAGTAGCACAGAAGTGAAGCTAGGGTGGTGGTGGTCAGATCCAGTTGGCCCCAAACCCACAAGGCAAATCTGATCTGGCTTCCCGAGGGGACAGTATGACACAAGCCCTGAGACCAGGGCATCCCACAAACTGATTATAAAACAACATCAACAACACCTTTTCAATCCCAGGCTGTGCTCCTTTATGTAACTTTGAATGTAATCCATAAGAAACCTGGCCCATTAACATAACAAGACATGCAGAAGTCAAATTTTCTGAGCACAGCTTAAGATTTTAATGTAACAAAACACGAAA